ATCCCTTGCATCTCTGCCACGCACGGAATCGGTTGAAAATATAATGTTAAAAAGTCTAGTCTATCCGGTGCATTGTTTTCACAGCTATTGTTATGCTGATTCACTTGGAACCGTGGTCAAGTGGGGGAAAAGGGGCTTCCATATTATGAAACTGAGTCAAGTCCGGTTGGGTGAAGTTAGTACCTGGATGGGTGACCTGAAACTAATACTTTCTAAAAAAAAATATTTTTCCAATTTTTTTGTTTGTTTGATAAATCGTCGCAAATTAAAACCTGTCGCGCATTTATTCCGTACGCGGCAGTCTTTAATCATGAAAAGTGTCACAAATATTATATCATATTCTGTGCCAAGGAAAGACAAACAAGTCAAATTGAAAACTATCAAGCAGAGGAGAATCGCTTGAAATTTCACTACAAATGTAAAATACTTTACCATAGTTTTCATTGGTACGCGCTCATCGGGACAACAGTCGATACAGGTTTATAGACTATCGCCAATCAAATAAATAACTAAGGTACATGTATGAATAATTAGAAAAATGAATATTAAAGACTACCCAATATGAAGAGCGCGAACGGGACTCTTAGTCCCATGCTAGGCACTTCCCTTGAGGACGCACAGAAAATAAAATAAAATAAGTAAGTAAATATATTATTATCTGTGATACGGACACTCGCGAACTAGTGACCATGTTCAAGGCAAGTCCGGCGCTATCAAATATACTGTTGGTTGGCTATTGCCCACTGAACTGTTGCTAGAGTTTGTCTTGATTAGCGCGTATCAATAAAGAAAATGGTAAACTTCATAATCAATAAACAATAATAATATTCAATATTTATCTAATTTCCCTGAGCTAGTGACAATTCTAAGCATTACCAACATCATAATCATATCATTACRATTTTTTCTTACCTTCGACAATTATCTTAAAGGAGCACTTTCCAACATTGCCAGCGTCATCTGTAGCACTATACGTCACAACAGTCGGCTTTTTTACCTTGAATGGTGGAATAGCATTGGATGGATCTACTGTCATCTTCGGGGGCACAAGCGTGTTGTCCTCGGCCACAGGGATCGTCCAATTGGCTGTTGCGGTACCATCTTTTGCCAGAACGACTCGGATGTTTGCAGGACAAGACTTTGTAAACATCGGTGGTGTTTTGTCTTTCAGAAGGGGAAAAAAGACGTAGTAATTGGTTAGCAGATAATATAAAGACAGAAATTACACTTATTCGTTAAATAAGGAGGCTGTACTTGCAGGTGAAATCGAAATGAGTGAGACTATTGAGAAGAAACCAAAGTATAAGGAAACGTCCACAAGAGATGAGAAAGGTAAACTGTCGCAGTGAAAGTAAAGGAATGCATTTTCATAATAGAGGTTTTGTATCATCACTTGCCCACGCTTATAATACAGCTTGGACTGCCTGTGGTTAGATGGAAGAACAATAAAATCCCTTTGGTATGGGGAATTGAATTCTTTCTTATGTAAAAGGATTGTATTTTTCCTCCCATCTGACRTGGCTGCCGTCACGTGACGGTGCAAAACCTCTATATTGATCAATTGTGTCTATATCTATGAATCAAACAAACCTTCACAGGTTATGATTGTAGATACATCCTGATCCCATCGTCCATTATTACCACAGGTAATGGAGGTTATACCAGAGCTGCGTGCAAATCCATTGTAGCAACCAAACTTGCATGTCGTCTGCACAACAGGTCCATTACTAGCCGAGCACACTGGAGGATATACGTAGCCTTTGGCGGGCATCTTTAGAGGATTGCATCTTTTGACTTGAAGAGATCAGAAGATACGCAGTCATGGCAATAACTTTATTTTATTTTGTTTATTTATTTTTTTGGATAGCGCTATCCACCCCACCCTTCGTACAACCAGGCCCAAGACCTACAGTCAGTTGGTTTCAAATTGTTGTGGTGTTCCTGCCTCATATCCACATTATTTACTCGTTTATTTTATTTATTTGTAGACATTAAACATGCGAATCTAAATAAATAAATAAGTGATACACATCATCAAATGAAAGTCGTACGGGTGCACGGCTCTTAGGCGCAATGATATGTAATATCACTACTCACTTTTACAGAAGGGCATGGTTCCACTCCAGTATCCTTGTATTTGTCCTGGTTTCACTTGGCAGGTTCGCTCGTTTGAGCCCGTCATGTTATACCCATCATCGCATTTGAAACGACAGATTGAGCCATACGTATGGTTACATGGACCCACGGCTTGACCGTTGATTATACTGGATGGATGTGRATAGCAACGTAGAACTGGTACAAGTCACAGGATTAGAACATGTTGGGCAACAGTTTGTGTGACAAATGTGCACTACTGGGTTTGTATTTGTTTGTATTGCCATTTTGTATCGAAAATGATGTCAAATGAAACCCACTGATTATCCATTCCGAAGTTTAGGGGGGGAAAGCGCGTCGAGTTGGCATTGCAGTGCATTTTGGGGCTGTTGCGRGGGACGAAATAGACGCCATCTTGCAAATAGGTTTCTTAAAATAGCCCCATAATGCACTGCAATGACAACTCGACCCAGTTTCTTCCTTAACCTCGGAATGGCTAATTATTTGTTTCTTTAGATATCCTTAATTTTCCTGGCCTGTGCAGAATCCGAATGTTCATCAACTGCAAGTTTTTCATAGAAATCTTTCTTGTTGACAATGGTGGTCAGTTTGACCACTGTACGTTAGGAGCAGATAATGAGATTCAATGAATTTTATCAATTCATTGAAAACCAGCAACACATCAAGTAAAATATGAGAATACATAATTCGTTGATGTCAAGGGCTTTACCAACACACAAAAGCTAAGCAATATTATATACTATTTGTATATATTTTTTACTTACTTTTCACATAAACGAAGAATCGACAAACCGCGAAGTTTCCAGATGAGTCTGCAGCTGTGATTATAATTTGATGCCGTCCAGCGGTGTATACCATTTTCGCGCCATCTACTTTAATGGTCGGCACCTCGCCTGAATTGTCTGTAGCTTCCATCGTTGGCAAGGATACGCGAGCTGAGTTCTGGTTCTTCTCCGCAAATACATCAATGTTGTAAGGACACCGCTTTGTGAACCTTGGTCGCTCCACGTCTGAAATACACAAGGTAAAACTAAAACTCTATCCTTATCATAATCTTTCCTTACATATTGAGCTTGCAAAAACAAACTCATTTGACTTGAAAATTCAAGCGAAAAATATATGKCTACGGTACTATTCAATGGTAAAGATATTTCCAACACGTGGCTGCTATGTTGGTTAACATAACAAAAGAAAACATTCAAATCTTTCAAGTCAACCAGCATGCATATGGCGGCCATAAAGTCAAGTTCAACCCAAAAATAGACTGTTATTACAAAGCTATACTCTCTCTTATCTTTATTTTTATTTTCATATCCCAGCAGTCTTGCAGAGAGTAGTGTGTAAACTACAAACACACACAAAAGTTTTAAAACCAAACAGGTATGTGACGTCGCATGTACCCAAAAATACGTAAACTTTTGCAATGGGTTCGTACCTTGGCAGGAGACATTGCTGTTGTCATTCCATTCACCCTTTGCGAGGCAAGTCCTGATATTTGATCCTGATAGTCGATAGCCATCGTCACAAAGGAATTGACACGTGACTCTAAATCCTGGGTCGTTTTCACATTGATCATCTGGGACAACTTTGCCATGAGGTGGGGATTTAAGGCTTGGGCAAGTTATAGCTGTAACGAATTGGGAAAAATGGATTTTAGACT